AATACATATGTGAATATACTGACCCGTTGTGACTTACTTCGTCACGAGTTACTCATTTTGTTTGAATCCCCTCTACACATTAGACTGTTCTGTGTATTCATCATGAGTCGTCGTTACTTACGCGACACCTCAGTTATCATTAGACTATCTCAGCAATGTTTGTTTAGTTGGTGAGGTTGTTAGTATCAGCCTCTATCCACTATTTCGCTACTGTCCCTGGCTCTCAGCTGAGTAGAAGAAGCGAGGCCCAATTGATTTCACCAAGGACAAACGTGTATTTGGGATGCCTTCGATGAACGACGATGGTAACAGCACGTCCAATGAGCAATGGTGCGTTACGGGTAAAATGTCAAGACCGTGAGATGGGCATCATGGGAACTACTCGATGGTCAAAGAATTTCACTGATTTGTGACGCACTCAACTTTACTTCCCAGGAAAGTCAGTAACATACGCGCCACTGGCATTTGTCTAGGTCATATCTTGTCAGGTCTCGAGTTAAACGCGTGATGATTTCTTGTTTACTCTAATCTGGAAGGTGGGTCCGATCAATTTCATCCGTGACTTTATTCCTCACTGGCTTGTCAATGGTTGCTCCTTTCTCGCCTTGCGCTATCCTAGACCAGGCCAACAAAACAGGGTCCTGTGTATCCGATAAATTCGCTTTGGGCTCGAGCGATTCGTAGAACTCCCGCGTTAAACCGAAAGTCAACTGCGATACTATTCAAATAGATGTCAAAATGAGACGTGGTTATACCTGTTTAATAAAAAGCAGTGGTAGTGACTTCCTTCTGCTTTTGCTCAACCTCTTTACACTCTCTTTTAACGACGGAGTATACCCTACTCAATGGAAAACTTCTGTCGTTATCCCGCGACATAAAAATGGCGCTGCCCACGAGGTTAAAAACTTTTGTCCCCTCAATCACACGCCCGTCGTATCTAGAATAATGGAAATGATAGTGAAAGGTGAACTATTTATGTTCTTGAACCACGCTAACATCAGCAATTCGCAACACGGCTTCATGCAAGGTCGATCCTGCGCAAACATGCTAGACTGACTTTTTAAACCACACAACGGCTGCCATTGACAACGGAAACAGTGTCGTAATCCTGTTCCTGGATATGCAAAAAGCCTTTGATAGAGTGCCTCACAGAAGGTTACTAAACAAACTGAAGGCTATAGGCATTGGAGAACCGATGTTTACTTGGCTGTCTTCATATATAATTGGTAGACAGCAGGTGGTGCGCATAGGCGATCATTTTTCTAAACCGAAAGCAATCACTAGTGTTGCGTTCTTGGTCCTCTTCTTTTTCTAATTTATATTAACGATATATTCCAGAGAATAAGAAATGGTGTTGCATTTATCTCTGCTGATGACATTAAAGTTGTCTACTCACAACCACATGCAAGGGTACAGTCTAATTTGCGGAAATCTGACCAGCATGCTCTTAAGAGGGTCCAGAGACGCTTCACGAAAATGCTATGTAGATATGTCTCAAAGTTGACATACAGAAAGCGATGTGCTAAACTTGGATTTGACCCAGTTTGGCTTCGGATAATGAAGCTGAACCTCTGTTTTCTTTACAGAATCAGAAATTGTCAAATTCGCAGTCTTGAAAACGGTGTTCACATATCCAGTACGTAACAAAGAGGTAAAGGTGCTGATTCCAAAATTTCCTACGGGAATCAGAGGACGTTTCTTTCTAACCCAATACTCAAAGATTTGGAACAAACTTCCAAGTGATATCAGAAAATGCTATAGACTTTGCAATTTTAAGCTTGCGATTAGTAAGCATTTAACCGTTCAAAACGTGATTAAGATGTTCGGGCCATCACAGTCCCTAGATAACGCACTCGAAAAAGGTATCCAAGGTGCCTGAATAAATTTCCGAAACACATATACATAACATTTCGGACAACAGCCCCTTTCACTACATTTTTTATTGACCCAAATATCTGTCGTGATTGTGAAGAATCCTGATTCAGTGGCAGAAAAAATAGCGAAACGATGCTGATTACTCTGTATTGCCTAATTTGCAATTGCGCCCATGTTTATCTCTGAAAATGTATTAATGAAATGTCATGGAAAAGTTGTGCCATTATTTGATCTGTTCCTTCTAGGGAATAGCTTCTCGCATCGTCGAGGAATATACAATTGATTGATTGATTTTTTTATATCCCCTCAGTGCTGAAACACCTGGGTACATAAGAAAAGTAAAAATCACTCTAATTACGACTGTACAACCAGATCACAAAAGCCAGAGTCCACGTGCGTATAACCCTGTTCAGTGACGCGCTCGCTGTTCAGCGCTCAAATTGTGGATACTGTGTCACGGGGCGAGTGTCTTCGAGGCGTGAATGAACATATGACTGGTAGGTGTGACCTATGGGTCAAGCAATTATGACAGCTGGAATTGGAATAAAACTGTGTACTGCATCGAATAGGAAGGCAACTGGGGGCTGACAAGTAGTGATGACAGGCTAAAGTTTAGCAGATGGCGCACATGTCAGTTGTGGTAATTCCGAGCAATATTGTAGTATTCAAATATCGACCCGCATAGTAATTTTACCGCATTTATTGCACGTAGTTGAGCCAGCGTAACTTACTCGATTTTATAACTAACTGACCTGATCACTGCCGTCACCTGGCACTCCTTTTCTGACCTCATAGTCGCTGATAGGTTGACGCCGCTCAGTGCTCCACAGAAAGCGATTGTCGAATAGTTGTGGATATTTTTTCTCTCCAACCCTGAGCGATCACGTGTCACAACTATCGAAAACCGCTCAGATACACGTCTGCTTAGTATTGGCATCACAGCTGCTCGTAAAATTCTGATAGTATATATATATATATATATATATATATATATATATTTGTAGTTGTATTAAGTGAGAGCGTTCTACATTGAAGCACCGATGTTGTCCGTTATTGTGTAACCGATTGGTGGTTTCCCTTGGCTGGTCAAAGAAGTCAGCCATCGTTAACTTCATCTCCTGCCCCTCCACTTTCTGCCCCCGCTATACCAACTAGGTTTACAGTTTTGTTCACAGACTTCTTTATCTCCTACGTGACAGCCTACTATTGATAACTAACAATTTTTTCACTTATCCCCGCATGTTCGCTGACCATTCCTTTATCCGACTGCAAACGTTCTAACCGACCACATTGTCATTCGAAACTACGCTTCTTAAATGACCAGATTTTTTCGACTAAGGTTCGATATCCTCAGATGTACATGCTAGTGTTTATCCTTTTATCGTTCGACCACATGAATGAATGTTACTGATACGATAATTATTTGCTCTTTTATCTGATCATCTGCATCCACCTGTTGGCACTTCAACCCTTTTATTCGTAACCACTGTCTGACGTCCAATTCATGCGAATTTTGTTTTGCTTTGCTTCTCAGTCACATCTACAATTGTATTGCCCCCCCCCGAATGCTTTTCTTAGTAGCATATATATATCCAGTTCAGTTCAGCAGTTGTTCTTTCCTGATCCTTGCACACCTTTCCAAGCAAAATACGAATTACAAATAAATATGCTAGCTAAATGCAGTATAAAGGTTGGAAATCTCTGCATATTTACTGCAAAGATTGACTGCGACTTTATCCAAGTGTACCTTACCTCCGCGGTCTTATTCTGTCGTATGAGGTTTCTATTCAATGCTGTGGCCCATCTGGCGTCATCATTTTAGCTTTTCAATGCCTTATCGCCAAATCTTAAGTTGAGCATTCTACAGTTTCACTTAATAGCGCTTCGCATTCTAACCAATGTACCTGTACACAAGTGACCCGCAGAGAGCACGACCTTTTGGACGTAAGAGATGATCTGGTACCGCACTAGAGGGTTTGTTTTTTTAGGATTGTGGTGCATCAACGTTGCTAATCCGGTGACGCAACATGAGGTACCTTTATGTCTCCAGTGCGTCTCCGATGCATGTTAAAACAGTTGCCACACTACAACACCGCACACTTTACTCTTACTCGATTGCTCTATATCATGCCGTATCTGCATATGTTCAGGGCTTTTAAAAGCTACACATGCCGATTCACGCGGTACTTCCTCGGGTGTTTCGAGCACTGGGCGAACGTATTCACTGTTTAGTTTTGACTTGCTACTGCGTGTCTGGATTGCAACCATCATTCCGAATCGGAACCGTAGTATACCCTAAATTTGTTCTCATCTATTCCAATCACTATGTCTGCGTCCGGAATAGAGATTTGGGGTATGTACTCCTATCTATCTAGTGGTTATCCGATTATCGTGCACACAAGTGGCGCGCCAACACCTTCCTGCAGTGGTGTCCCCCCAACTGAATGCTGCAAGCCGCATCCTGAAATGTGCATCGCCTTCCGATCCTAAGAACTCTATGTTTCCCGTCTACTTCGGGTTTGTCAGTCATTGGTTTGCATTCTTGTAATTGTTGATGCATAAACTGCCTAACTAAGGCAAGCTATTCCCTCCAACGGCCCGGAGACCATATATGAGTCACGTTTCCACACAAAAATATGCTCAACTGTTTTTGGTTTCTCTCTCCATGAACTCGCCATGGAACATTTCACACACTCAAATGTGTTCCGTTTTCTGGATCGAGAAGACGTGTTACATTTTCACCCTTGCATCCATCTCTACACTAAATAGGATTTGAACGAACAAAAGTAAACTCTTCTTGCATCTTGCATTTTTTTGGAATACTCACTAGATGCCATTGACTTCGTCTGCTCGACTCTTTGCCTAACCTTTCCTTCTTCGTCGTGTATCATTGCTCAGCCGTTTTCGTAACTGATTTTTCCACCGGATATCCCTCGTCTCACTCTCTTTTTGGCTGCAATTTCTCATTCACCCACTTGCCTACTTGCTTAGGGTAACGTTACATTTTCGAGCGGTTTTGTCACATTATGCCCTAACTTTTCTTCCACCACTTCTCCTGTCTCACCTCATATTGTATCCCCTTGGTCCTCTTGCAATCTCTTGTTTTTTTCCTCCCTTTCCCCCAGGACATGGCTTGTGGACTCAGTCTCGGTCGTTCTCTCAGTGGATCCGAGTTGCCCCTAGAAGGTCGTCGGGCCATGACACTCAAGGGTGGTGAGATGTGCCATTTAAGCCTCACAGGTGGAGCAGGTGTGCCTTGTGGCCCACCACTCAATGGAGGACGTATGTCATCTTCCAATTGTGGTATGCCATTTCCTTCTGGTCCTTTTGGCAATAGCTCTGTGTCCCACGCTTACGTACACGGTCCGGAAGGCGCCGTGGCTCTGGGTTGCGACATAGGGTCCGGTATGCGACCAGCTGTCCCTTACACGCAACACCTGACTTCAGCCAGTCTAGCTAGTTTGGCTCGTTTATCCCAGCTATCTGGTCCCGAAGGGTCTTTTGTACCATCGTCGACATCATCAAGCGTTGCAGGGAGTTCCTTTGCACAAACTCCTGGCTCTGGTGCCTACCCCGGTCGTGGTTATCCACCTGACGGCACTTCGTTCATACCTGGACAACCCCAGCAAATGCCACATCAATCGATGCGTGGCCATCCGGTAGCGCCCTCTGCCGGATTAAAGTCATACGATGTGGATTTGATGTCCCCGATTATGCCCCACTCCGCTTTGTCTCCCTCCATGCACCAACAGAAAATTGGATCACAAACCTATCACGTTCCTGGCCATCAACAGCATACATCTTCTCAGCCACCACAACAGCAGCAGCAGCAGCCGTCTCATCAACCGCCTTCTATTCAGGTGCGCTCTTAATGGAGTGGTATTTTTTTAATTTTTTAACTGCTTGTTTTTTGGAACTTGTGCCCATCCTTATGTGCTTTCAATTTATTTAACCAGTTTCTCACACGCCTTGTTTTATTCTAGCTTACTGTATTCTAAAGCTAGAATCATTCTTCACTATTTTCCCACAGGTAAACAACACATTCTTTAACGCCCAATTAAACGTACAACAGATGAATTATCAGCACGTCAGTGCACCTGGTTCTACTGGACAAATGCAGATACACTTTGTACAACAACAACAACATGAGCAATCGGGTGTACCGATGAGTGGTGGGCTTCGGTGTCCTCGACCCCCTGGAACAGGTGCGCGTGTACCGGCTGGGAACTCCGGTCCGATGAGCACGACGCCTGAGTTCTACTCCGGCCAGCCTCAGCTCGGGCACCATCTTAGCACATACGGCTCCGAGGTTTTTAACCAGCGCTTATCATCCTCGTACTCTAATCAACCTGGTACTTGCGAGGCACGAATGAAATCCGAACTCACGGTGCCTTTGTGCACTGGGTTAACTGCAATTCCTGCTACCGGAGGAGCCACTACTTCCACTGCCGGGTATGGCAGCACAACAAGCGTCCATATAACGCCTCGCACACCACACACTATTCAGTATTTACCCGCGACGACTCCCTCTCATCCGGATGCCGCCCAACATGCGCCACAGTCCTATGTTCCCTCAGACTGTTCTCCGGCCACCAGATCAAGGCAAATGAGGCCAACTGGTGGACAAGGGTCAATTGACACGTTGCTGTTCGCCCCACCTCCTCCAGATGTACCGATTTCGGAGGCCACTACTCATCCGTCGTCGACTATTCAACAGCATCAATACCAACAGCAGCAACAACAGTTGCAGTCTCAGTATAACTCTCAGTCCATCTCGCAATCGGCGTATCCAGACCAAATAATTGCACAGAACAAAATCAACCAACAGCAGCAATATTCTACAGGACGTCCAACCGGATCCTCTTGGTCATGTCCCTCAGGTTTTGCTCTGGATCCAGGCGCCCCCGGTTCATCAAGTAAGCGATTTCTGTCCTCCCACTTTAAAGACATTTCTCGTTAATCTAACACTCTCCTAGTACTTTTCCTCTTAACATGTTTCGTTTCTTCTACCTACTTGATACGACGTTCATTTTTTCCACGTGTCTTAGTGCTACGTCCCATCGGAACTGCCCATCATTCGTCTTCCCGTACAGCAGTTGGTCAAGTTTCCGGATACATGAGTGAAATGGCTGAATCTGGTCTCTGCGGTCCAGGTTGGACTACCGATCCCAGTGAATCTTCTTCCTCTCAACGCTCTGGCAATCTGCACTATTCTCGCCAGCACTCGATTCCTCCCAGACCCGATGGTAGTTCGCAACCACAGCAAACACAAACACAACAACAGCAGCTTTATCGACAGCAGCAATTTAACCAGCATCATTACCATCAACAGCAGCAGCAACAGCAACAACAACAACAAATGTTTATGTCGTCCTCGCTAAACAACTGTTCCGGTGGTCAGGTCCAATTCATGATGTCCGCCTCAGCCTCCTCTTCATCAATGACTTCATCCAATGTGCAAAGCTGCTCATCCACTACCATTCTTAGCAATGAAGCGGGTGTCACCTCGTCTTCAGGGTCCGCGGCACCCCGCCCAACTTCCACGTGCAATATACCCTCAGATGCGAAAGCCTCCTGCCGTTACGATACAGTACCGATCAGTGGCAAACGGTCATCTGTACCCGGCAACAGCGACGAACTGAAGGGCGCGAGTTGCTGCGTTGGTCCTTTGAGTTCACAGCAAATGCTCCAGCCTGGTCGCACAGGTTGGCCGTCCACCACCACTGGATTGAACTGTGGCAGCAGTTCCACCTTTATTGAGCGCCAGTTGGATCCCTCATACTCGTCCGTATACACCGCGGGAAATTTTATGCCGGGGGCAGCGCCCTCAGCAAACGGAGCGTTTGGCTTCTCAGACCCTGCGATGAGCAGCCGTGATCTCGTCATACATCAACACTCACAAGCCCATAACACTTGTGACCTACCTGATGGTAGTCTACCTCAGGTCTACACCTCATCCGTGCTGCCATAATGCACTGAACTTGTTCTACCTATCTATGGACACCTACAGAAGTACACAGCCACCATTTCCTCTCCCTCTTTTCTTACCGCAGTGTGTGTTAGGTGTACAGATCATCTTTCGTTTTGCTGTGCCTTTGGGTAATCAATTACGTCGTTATTAATGTTATCTCATTATGTGTCTGTCCCGACAGTGCTTCACACTACACGCCTACTCTCACTCACATGTAGCAACATTTAATAAAGACACACTGCACTATTTTTGCCTCTGTTTTTTTCGCAGTGTACTTTTCGGTCTCTGTGTCCTACTCATCCACGACCACATTCTTTTCTCCCTCTCCATATATCTTCTTTTAAGTGTGCCTTCTTGATGTTTCATACTCGTACGAGGCATGCCGCCCACCTGTGTTTTGCAACCACGAAAACCTCGATATCTCCCCTCTCACATCACCCATTTGCCATCTCTCTGTGTGTGCGTTTTTCGACCCACACCATTCACTCCTTTTCATCACACACTGTTCTTCCTTTTCTGTTCTCGTCTCCGGCGCATCTGTTGTACATGCTGTTTCGATCCTCCGAGAATACTTGTGGCTTATGCCATACGTCATTTCCTTTGCTTACCCTCTACTTTGTATGGTATTTTCTTCCCTTTTTAGACCTATACAGCGTCTTTTATCTATTCCACCCCGACTAGGCTATGATTGTCATCACGCATCTTTACTAACACTGTTTTTGTCTCTCTCTCCCTTTCACTATTTTATTCCCACTCCAAAACTCGTTACTCCACTATACTCTTAATCGTTGTTTCCAATTTTTTTCCAATTCAGCTGAACACGTTGATAGCATTATTCATCTCCACTCTGACCACATTGGATCCGTTCATGCTATTCTTTCTCTGGTCGATGCCGTTTTTATGGCCTATTGCTTTGCTTTTGTTCTCTATTCTGTGCCTGCGCAATTGTTGTAGTGGTAAAGTGGAAGAAATAATTAATTTTATCACGTTACGGGTTTTCCTAGCACGCGAACTTACCCTCCCAATCGTATTGCTCCTCAGTTTTCTCTCGCCAGTTACGATTGCTTATTTCCAGCGGTTGTCTTGTCCGTGTTCACACCTGATCCCTGCTTCTGCCATTGAGTCAATCGTATTATATTTCTGGCTTCCCACAATGCTTCCGGTATCTGATATTGTCCTGGTCTAAATTTCTCAAGTAGAGGTGGCAGAAGTTTGTACTCGAGTGCGAAGCGTCATGATTTTACAATAGTAGCCCTTATTACCAGACCGTCGGTCAGAAGTGGTGCTCTGTTCGTCACCACCATCTTGACAGTTCATCAGCACGTAAAATCCGTGTTCAGCCACCATGAATTCACACAAACCCTATCAATCAGAAATGAAAAGAAAAGCAAGGGTTGGAACTGATACGAAACCTGTATGCTCGGGTCACGTATTCAAGATCAAGATTTTTACATCTTGTTGGAATCTGCCACAAGAAGCCGGTTCTGGTGTAAAAATTGAGCGCCATCAATGAGGCGGCTTCCCTACGGCCTTCGCTGCAACTTGTAGCAATAAACATTACCAATTGTGAGATATAGGATCGCCAATGTCAACATTTCGATTGTTCTCTTCAGTCGCAACACAATACAAGCAAGAGGCGTGCGGAATTCGATAGTAACAGATAAGCCAAACCAACTTGACATGTATCACGCAATTAGGTCCATTTCAATCTAATTGCTTGCCTGTTGTTTCTGGACACATAATGCCGAACGGTTCCTCCTTATCAGTAACGCCTCACTGAGTGCCAACAGTTTAGTATTCTTGTTGCGCAATAACACCTTGAGGGAGCTCATCGGGTCCACCGGATGATGAGGCGTCATGAGGTGCTTAGCCGTGGATGATACGGGGTTCCTGTTCATGGCTTGGTCAACTCCAACTTGTTGACTCAACGCTTACCTTAGTCACTTCAGGAAATGTTCAGCTACCCTTTGAGACAGTCGACAATCAGTCCTGCCTTTGTCACCGCATCTGTAAGTGAACTAGTACATGATGTGAGGCCAAACTATCTGGCGAGCTGCTCTCATGGTTGTCGAGAACGATCCTTCGTGGGGTATACGTGAGCCGCAGTCGCGCGGTCGTGTAGGTGCGTGTCAGAGCAGATCGGAGCTTGTGCCTAATATCGTTTGCGACATGGTCTCCTTTGAACGGTACGAACAAATAAACATCCTTATTTTACTCCAATTGCACTGGTAGCTTATCTTTTGGAAGTCCACTGTGTATCTGGCTGAACCTTTTTGGATACCCATTGGAGAGCACGGTCTTGAGCAAGAACTCTTTTTCGGTCTTCAGGGTGCATATTCATCTAGCCCTGTGCCACTGGTGCCCCTCGTGATACCTCCAGTAAGACACAGGGACAGTTACATTGGCCGTAGCCTGAGGGACAAAACTTACTAACAGCATCCAATTTAGCCTCATTTCTCAATACTGAAGCGACCATCGTCTTCGGGTTTCACGCTGTCCTAGATTCGGTAAGCAGAACGTGACCTTTCTCAGCAAGTATTTGGCAGGTGCATGTAGCGCGTGGCAGTGTGCGCAAATTATCCACTTTCTTTGCTGAGTGAACTAGGCCTCTTTTGCGCACCTATATTTGTGGACATGTTATCGCCACTTAACGCTAGGAATGCTCTGCAGACCACGGTGTTCAACGACCTAAGCGCGACTGAGATTTTTTTGGCTGGAAATGCTTTGTCCCCCTTCCTTCGAGGATAATGCTCCTCACCGAGGTCTCGTAGCCACGGTCAATAACGACAAAATCCCGTCGCTAAACTTGTTGGGCGTCTATGGGAACAATCCTGACTTTCGCGGAACCGCACCAAATCACAGGAGCAGCCGAACGGCTAGTCCAAAACGACAGCATAACCGGCTACGTTTGAGGGCTAGTCGATTCATTCTAACACAGGTGAGTGAGAGATTCGAATGGGTGCGATAAATGTGACGAAGCATGGTCATGAATCAAAGCACAACTGATGCACTGCAAGAATCAGGACATGTGATGTCCACTCGAACTGATCAGTCACAGTGTGCGTGGCTCAGGTGCATTGGGAGGCCTGGCACACGATGTGGGAATGATCATGTGGAGCCGCGTAGATGCGGACTACCTCGCAGTATACTTAGGCCACGTGTGACCGGTAGTGATCGCGCGGCAGTGAAGTGTCGGCACGGTGTGCCGGCGTACTGCTGATGCCTTTCCTTCTGTGATCGTATTATTTTGCGTTGGTTGTATAGTTTCAGTCACCGTAGGAACAGAATCCGCGGACGACCAACGGCATTGCATCAGTCAATTGGTCTGATGCTTCGCTGTTGTGGAGTGAATACTAATAAGAGAGAGAAGGGGGGCCTAATGCGAAACCTAAACGCTCCGAGCAGATATACAGCATCAAGACGCCTGTAATATGCTTCCGCATCCGTCGCGTACAATCGATCATAAACCATCAATAGAGCTGGAAGACAAAACAACTACTTCATAGGCGACTGGATGCCATTAACACAACCGCTTAGTATGCAGCCCGAATCAGAAGGAAGATATAGTTGCCGGCTTGCGAACAGATAGCGAGCGTGATGCATGACATATCGAAAGGTTGGTACAAATTATCTGTAATGCGGGCAGACGAGAGAACGGGTTCAGACAATGTTATTGCTCCGAATATTCTTTCCGTCTTTGATCCGGACGATTCACTATCGCTGCTCATTCTGTAAGAGAAAGAAACAGTCGCAGGTTGTTGGGCGCGCTTTGTGAACGCCTCTAATAGTTACACGCCTACATCTCTTCAAAAACATACAGTCACAGGCAGCTGGCCATAGAAACACCAGCGAGGCGGTTTCCATCCGGCTTTTGCTGCGCTTCTTCATAAACCTACCAGAGAATACATTTTAAATAATAACAATACGTATATTTTTCCTAATGCGAGAAACTGTGTCTGTAGCGGCACAGATCGATTTGTACAAAAATACCCATGCTCTTGCATGGGTGACATATTGGTGTATGCATTTCATGTAGTAACGTTCTGATGGACGGTTGTGGCGAAAGCCTAGTTTTGAAAACATTGGTGTTTAGATGTATTTGCGCCCCTCTTGGAACAGGCCATCGAGGGATTTTCCCCATGTTAGTATAATGATGATGGCTTTTAGATCAACGTAACTGGAGAGTCTACTTCTAAATGTTGCCACATTATCACACCACCTGAGTGTTATTGGTAGTTTATTACACAGATAGCTATATCTTACTAGGAAGAAATTAGAGCGAACATTCGTTCTAGCCTTCGGTATATTCAGTGTAAAATCTGTATTGCGAAGCACTCGAGTTGAGCAATCTTGTAATTCGAGTGTAGGCAGTTCGGAATAGGTCGCTTTGTGTAGCACGTTGAAAAATAGCAATAAGTTGTGCTTCAATCGTCGAATCCAAACTGGTTCGAGGTGAAATTCATTGCAACGTTCTCGATAACTCATAGCAGTGTATACCAATCAGATGTTTAGTAAATGTCCTCTGTAGGTGCTCCACAGCAATTCTGTCATTCTTTCTCATAGTGCCGTATATTATGCTGCGGCATTCGAGGATGGGGCGAGTGAGTAGCTTGAAAAGTTCGACTCTAGCACGAGTTGTGTGTATTTTGTTTGATCACTTGAACATAGACTGTCTGGCACGTGATACTTAGGCTTGTCCGGCGAAATTGAAGATAGACGAGTACCTAATGCCAAGATCTCGCGTGGACAACTGTGTAGGGACGCGTTCATTATTTAGGGTGATAGCTCCTTCGGGGATGCAGCAGACGTAAGACATAATACTTGATTTCTTAGCCAAGTGGTCCATCACTCAATTGCAGCACTATGACTCAACGGAATGTAAGTCATCTTGAATGATCAGTAGCGTCCCGTGAAGCACCGTCCTTGTACACGGTGTTCCCGAGACTGGAAGTCGTGATGAGCGCGAAGCAGCCAATCACGACCAGGAGCAACGGCGGTACCTTCGGGAGACCTTCTCCCTGGAAAACGTCATAGCGCAATCAATCTCGAGGCTGCGCCGGTCTTCCACCTACAAGGGATGTGGCCCGAAGATTGTGAAAGTGCTCCGTCGATCTAGACAAATGTCAGCAATTGTAGTGGAGGGATGTTATGCGGGCCGCAGAAGCCTTTCTCCCGAGCTCCGGATCCAATCTGCATCTACTATGCAAACACACGAGAACAGCCACTTAGTCAGACAGCAGTTTGGATAACTTCAGTCAACTAGCCAACGAAACTGGGAAACACACCACATACATTACAGACAAATAGGGAAGCAAAGAGGAAATGGTAGGATTCATGAATCGGACACAGATGAGTTCGTCATCCCCTCACCCAAAAACGATTATTTGCCGACTTTTTACCGGTCGACACAGCATTTCATCCAAAACACCCATCCCACGACTAATTGCTAAAAACAGAGAAGCTTTCATGCATGTACACCAATGCAAAAGGTCTGAACAAGCTTGCCGAATTGCGGCTACGTCAAGCGTCACATGCCTGGGACCACATATCCTTCACAGAAACTGTCGCAATCAGAAATTACTGATGCCGAGGTCACGACATGTGCTATGTCCTCCAAAACGATCGACCTAGCATAGACGGATGGGTAGTGTTATACTACCGCAACGACCTGCAGTGCGAACCGGTGGTCGATCCAAAAATGCTGATTATAGACGCACTCTGGTGCAGTCTACGACTGAGACGCAACGACACTTGAATTTTGGCCGTTGTTTATCGTCCCTCAATATTCACCCCGTAGATGGACTCCCGCCTAGCATTATCCTTGGTAAAGGGTCATACAAGGGCGATACAATCATGTTCTCATTTTAGCTGACGTCAATCTTCATGATTTGATAGTTCTGGCATCCCCCAACGAGCAGTTTAAGGCGGACCTGCAAGCGTAGGTTAAAATCAATCTGATTTTCAGTCATGTCAGCTCACTCACCCGATTCAGAGCCGGAAATAAACAAGGTCACTCATCAGTAGAAGTTAATGAAGCGCTTCTGTACGAACCGCAAACTCCTGTACAGGCACGTTAACGGCCTTCGAAAGGTAAAGCGGGGGATTCCAGCACTAGTCACGGCTGATG